CACACACACACACACACACACACACACACACACACGTGCGCTCTTGTATGTAAATGAGCCTTCACAGCTGAGCTCCCAGCTTCCCTCTGTGAATGAGTCTTGGTAGCTGATAGCCGCAAAAAGAAGGGAAATAGGCATCTGAGGCCAAGATTCGCAGTGTCCTTTAGGACAAAGTTAATGTAGACAGAAGAACACATAAGAGTGTACTGAGAGAAGCTAAACAGATTCTTTTGTTGAACGATTCACAGCAATCATACTAATCTATTGTCACCAGAGAGTAAAATGTCTTCAGACCACCACCAGTCAGCAGATGAGGACGAAGGCTAAAATTATCCGGGCTGATCAGCAAATATGCAGAACACCTGCTTGTCCCTGTGGGTCCGCAGAGAGGCACGTGGGACTGGCCCCTCCCACCCGCAGCTCCGGAAGAGCCCTGAGCCTCGTGCTGTCCTCCCGAAAAGGTGTGACTTGGCCAATCTGAGCTCCCGCGGGGCTGCACGGGAAGGAGCTGGGACTCTCTGCGCCTGTGCCAGACCTGAGGGCCAGGCCTCCTCGGTCGGAAAGGGGAAGGGCACCGCCCTCGCTTCCCTTGAGGCCTCAGAAAAGCTTGCCCACCGCCTCCATCTGTCTCAGACGAGGAGATCGCAGGATGACGGGCTAGGACCGGGTTGCGTTCAAGGTTTTTTTACCGGGGGTAACTTTTAATTTTTCAATAATTTCAGGTTCGCAGAGATAAGATACTGCTATTTAGTCTATTTTACTCATATCTGGTCATTCGTCCCAATAATTTTGTTAATGCCGATTTTTTCTTTGATAGGATCCAATCAAGACTCCATACTCCTATCTTTGCCACATTTCTTCATTATCCTTTAATCTGAAATAGTCTTTATCTTTCATAAGGCTGATACTTTGCCAGTGCGGTTATTTTGTAGAATGACTCAGTTTAATTTTTCCCCTAATGTTCCCTCATGTGACTGTGTATTGGGGGAAGGGCACCGCACACGCGACATGCCTTTCTTGGTGTGCGATTTCAGGAAACATGTGAAGTGCGTGTGGCTGGTCCTGATGTTTGATTCTGTGTTGTGCTCAAATGTTTACTGTATTTGCTGACTCCGTGCTGGCCGAAAGCCACGATTCGTAACATTTGCCCTTTCCCGTGATGTTAGCACTCCCACCGTGGCCCACTTCATGGCAGGTTCCGCCATCCGTGCACAGACGGGAAATGTACCTGCGTTGACGTCTACAAACCTCCGGAGCCTCTGCTTTGGTCATGGGGATTAAACGGTGTATGCCAGCTCCTCCTCTACAAGCTGCTTTTCCCCGCTGTGTAATAATTGTTTGTAAATAACTTAATGTCTTATGAATATTGTTATTTATCACTTTAGTTCCTGAGTTTTCATGTGTACTGATAAGCTTTGCCTGAATCCGTTTGCTTACCGAATGGTGACTTTTCTAAATTCATCATTCCCAATCCATTAGTTGAGGAT